AAAAAAAAAAAAAAAAAAAAAGAAGAGAGAAACACTGAATCTATTGAATTGTTAATAATTGTGTTCTTTTAACTACAGGTGGAATCCTAAACCCTGCAAATGCACAAGCACCAGGACAGGTTAAATTAAACTTCTTGACTCAAAAATAAGATTTACAAATTTTCTTGATTTTATTTTCTGAGAAAAAAAGGAGAAGAATATTAAAATATTTAAAATTAATTTTATAGGGATCTTGGTGCATTGCAAGACCCTCAACTTCTGATGAGGAACTTCAAAGGAATATTCATTATATCTGTAATGAACAAGGAATTGACTGTTCTTTAATTAATGATGGTGGCCCTTGTTGTAATCCTAATACTTACATAAATCATGCATCAGTGGCAATGAATATTTATTATCAGAATTTTGGGAGAAATTATTGGAATTGTGACTTTGGCAGAACTGGTGTTATTGTTGTTACTGACCCAAGTAAGTATATTCTTAGTTTTATGATAAATTGTACTCCCTCGGCTTTCTTTTAAAGTGATTCTATTTTCTTTTTAGCATGTTCCGAAAAAAAGTAGCTCCTTATTTTTTCTAAAATTTAGAAACAAATTAAGTTCAGCTTTCTATTGTATTCTTAATGATAATCTTTTATAACCACACAAATTTTATGACATGCTTAAGATCATAATTTTTAAAAATTGTATAACCACAATTTTGTTTTTTGGTTTTCCACCCAGTGCCTCGTGCCCGGTACCCATATTGGAATCCGACTATATCCTGATTCGCGTCGCGTTGTACCCCATTCAGGGGGAAGCGCTCCCTACGAGGATTTTTTCGTACCCTGGACTCAAATTCGAGACCTCTGGTTAAGGGAAGAGCAACCCCATCCGCTGCACCACATTCTTCGGTGGTGTATAGCCACAAATTGTTATGGCATATTTTAGACGACAAGGTTCAAAAATCTTCATTTCTTTCTTAAATTCCTTGCTCAATCAAATACTAATTGCGGATCAAAGTAGTTCACGTAAATTGAAATTGAGGGAGTAAAAATCATTATAGAATTATTTTTAGATTTTTTTGGATTTGGTTTTTAAAAGATTTCTTATCCTCTTTTTGCCAGGCTATGATAATTGCAAATTTGAATTTCGTCAGTAGATATATTGAAGCTGAAACAGCGTGGAATATTTTGAGTGATATAATCTGAAGAAACAATAAGTCAATGTAGCATTCAGCTTCTTTGGATGGTTGTTATGTATTGTTACTAATGTAATATTTAGTTTGGTTGTCACCCAAATTTTATTGTACCAGATCGTTAAATTCGTTATTACGTAATGACGAAAAATGTCATTTTATGTAACGATAAATTTGGTGTGGTCGCCTCATTACTTTAGTTGTTCTCTCATCTTGCCCTTCCTTATTATTAAATAGTTTATATTTTATCATTTATCTATTTTTTATATAATAATTCTACCCCATATTTTTTTTTGGTAATATTACAAATTTATTCTTCCCGGTGCATGACATTATAAAATATCGACAAACGATATAATCTATCCAAATATTGTATTCATCAAAACACTACAGTATAATATAATACAATATATCACTATACATTATGAATGAATCGATATGTACAACTATCCAAACAAAAAGTTATGTTTGAATATAATATTGGAGATCGTGAGAGTAGATGAAATTACTTTAATGAAGAAGAAAATAACACGACGTTGAAGAAATAAATATTGGTTTTTCCCCTATTGTACTTTTTTCTTATTATAAGTGTGTCTTTCATTTCTTTAGTCTTTTTTCCTACTGTACTTTTCCTTTAACCAAACAATGAAAGTGACAAACGAGATTCCAAGCAATTGGAAATATTATGATCTTAAAAGTTTACTGAAAACAAGAGTACTAATATCCACATTTCAATGAGAGGTTAAGTTTATACTAAACCATGGAGTGTTCCAAGATTTTGGATCAAATGCAGAAGACATCGAAAACGAGAAAACAAAAGAGAAACAATTGTATTATTTAGTTTTCCTTTTAATAGTCAAGCTTAGAGAGGAGTGAAAAACAACAAATGTGTAGATTAGACGCATGTTATATAAGGGTGGCAAGTTGACCGTTCCAGGATCGGGACCGGCTCGGGATCGCGGACCAAACGGTCTTCTAGGCCTAAATGGGCCTGAACCGGTTAGAACCGGCTAAGTGGGTCTGGTCCGGTCTTCTGGGTCGTTCTTCACTTTAGGACTGATAGGCCCGGGACCGGACCGGTCTTGGCGGGCCCAAACGGTCCCAACGGTCAAAATTTAAAAAACAAATCTGCCCGTTTGGGAATTTAAAAAATAGTCGTTGGGTCTGCCAAAATAGTCATTTAACCCCTCCCCACCCCCCAC